CTTCACCTTAAACTAAGTTTCTCCAGCCTGGCCGCAGAAGGTACTGTGGGAAGAAAGAGCACATTTTTATTTTTAGGAACATCCATTATGGTAATCGTCTCTTAAATGTAAAAGGGATTCTGATGCTATCAAGGTCTGTTTATGAGCTTTTGAATTTGTCTTCTTACAGTTTAAATCCTTGAAAATGACAGAAAAGTCCTCACTTGAGAAACGACCAAGACTATTTTAAGATTTATTTCATGGCATTTGTTCAGCTTGAGATGGAAGTAACACTGTTTACTTTGGATTCAGTGAGTTTTAGTGACTCATACTTAAAAACAACAAGCATCATTCATCAATATTTGAACACCACATGAGACACGGCAAAACAACCTGCAATAAAGTTGGTGATATCCTTTAATATCTGCCCAGGGCTTAAGGCTGAAGTGGAAAAGTTTACAACTTAAGGCTGCTGCTCACAAGAGGATAATCAGTCCGATTCAGACCCGGTTTGCCCCTTCTGACAATCTAGGGGCCAGTTGGTGCCGATTAACTGCCCAAGTAATCCTGAAGTGTGAGGGGTTTACAAAATAATCTAGATGCTACCAATTGAGTCAATACCAAAATAGAGCGAGGTGAGCAAGAAGCTTCACCAACCGGATGTTGCTACGCTGTAGGTACGCACGTATCGAAACACTAGTGGCGGTCTCCCGGTTTCTGGTCCGCTTATTTACAAGTTTATATGCCGTCTCTGTTTACTTCAGAACAATGGTTAGTGCAGCTCACAGGATTGTGTTGGAGCTGGAGCTGATAGATGTTGAACAGCGAATAGTTTTTCTGAAAGAACTGCAACGAAGAAATTAAAGACGTCATCCTTATTCGTTCCTTCGACTCAATTAAAAAATGGCGGCGATTCTGCCGCAACTGCGTGATTTGGGTTTAAAAGGAAGAGGAGTGGTGTTGATTTATTTATTTGTTGGTGAATCATTTCTGCAAAGTCAACATAAACCTGATGGAGTAACTGTTGTAATCAGATTACTTGGAGATCACCATGGATGATCCTGACAGCTTTTGGGAGTATTGAGGTCACTTCAGTCCAGTCATCTTAATCTTCATCTTCTTCTATTTCTTCTTCTTCTTCATCCTCTTCATCTTCTTCTTCATCCTCTTCTTCTTCTTCATCCTCTTCTTTTTCTTCATCTTCTTCTTCACCCTCTTCTTCTTCTTCCCCTTTTCTTCCCTCGCCTGTAACGGGAGGGGCGTGTTGTCTGTCCAGTGGCCGGCTGCCTCTCTCTGCTCTCCGGGTGAAAGCACTGAGGGTCTCGGTCTCTGGCAGCGGAGGATGTGAATTTAAATGTCCGCTCGCTGATGATTCAGGGGGGGTTAAAATCTCTCTAATGAGCGGTCGTGTTTTCCGGGTGAAGGCGTCGGGAACGAGAAGGACTTTGCTCTTTAAGTCAAGGTAACGATGATGTTTTACAGCTGCGGGTCGATATGATTCAGCGTCTTTTTCATAACCTATCCGACGGTAGATGGCGGCGAGTAATAGATTTATCCGCTGTCTCTCAAACAACACGTTGCTTTTAACGCTACAGTCAAATAAGATTAGCCGATTAATTAAACACGAGTAGAAGATTAATTCGGCTCTTTTTAACAAGATTTTTAGTGTTTAAATAACCACATTGCACTGTAATCCTTGGATTTTACAGTGGAGTTTTGTTGCTTTTAACGCTATTGCTAAGTAATAACTGCCGATTAGTAGCCCACGAGAAGAAGATTAATTCGGCAGGTTTGGCAACATGCGTGGTGTTTAAATAACTTCATTACAATACAATACCTTTAAAAACAATGGAGATGTGTGGCTCTTTACGTTATAGTCAAGTAACACTGGCAGATTAATTAAGCATGATTGTTAATGTGACTTTTAATTTGAGCAACATGTGAATTATGTTGTCATGAAGTTGAAGTAGATTTATATGTTGACACTGATTTGGAACTAAAGACATGGTGATATGTGTATATATGATGTATATATATATATGTGTGTGTGTGTGTGTGTGTGTGTGTGACACATTTTATTCTTGGATCTGTATAATAGCGGATGTCTCCACCACTCAATCAGCCATAGACATGACTTTGCAGGAGCCTTGTCATTATGGTCCTGATACCACAGAGCCAGAATCCTTCATTAATTATTTCATCTGGTTTTATAGACGATACTGAGCTGGTTTCAACTTGTCTTTATTGCTATACTGACAGATCTGTGGAGCACTTTTCATACAATAACCCCCGAACCCTTCCACATACCTCCATTGACCAAGACAATGTTAATAGGAACTATTAATAGAAACTGTCAAAATGAGAATATAGCCAGACGGTTGTTGGCTCAATCCCCAGCTCCGAAATGTCTTTGGGCTGGATACTGACCACTGTACTGGTGGTATAGGGTGTGAGTGATACATGATATAGAGAAAGTGCTCCACGTAAATGCATGAAAGGTAAAACTCTTGGATAAAGAAATACTAAAAGAGATAAGAAATGGATAAAGCTAAGATGAAATAATGAAATACTATAAGTGAGTGAAACCAGAGATAAAAAAAGGGGGATATTAAAGTGCAAATAATTCTAAGTGAGTTGATGATTCACTAAGTAAATCAAATAGAATACAAGGATAACCCTGTAAAACAACAATGCAGGGATTCTTGCCATAGTGGCAGCCAGCTTGTTTGGTTTGGTGTGAGTGTGTGTTGGTGTGAGTGTGTGTGTGTGTGTGTGCTTTCAGTGATTCTGATTGTAATGTCTCCGACCTGCTCCACCCCACCAATCATCCCCAGATTCTTCTTAAATCAAAACATTTTTACTGCAGCCCAACTCATATAACAACATGGACGCACAAATCAGAGAGACGTTGGAGTAACGCCACCGAAAACAAAAATGTTAATTTCCATCCTATACATGAAGTATGCACTTTGCTGGTGTACTCCCACCCTCTCGCTGTCTGGATTTCCCCCCTGAGAGCTGACAGTTTGGCTCGCAGCGTCGACAGCCCGCAGGCCCTCCTGCCTCCTCTCGGGCTGACATCCCTGTGGGGTTATTCATGGCCGCTCTGTAGCTCCTGACAGAGGTGGTATTGTTCAAACATACCACGAACATCTGCACTCAATGTAAATCCAAACTTGTTCTCGTTATTGATGGTATGTGAAAATATAAAAAAAAGATGTCAAATCAAACATTTATTTTAGGTTTTCTTTTTCCACTTCTCATGTTAAACTTTCCCACTGAGCTCACGTATCTGTGGCTGCAAATCTTTAGTATATATCAGTTTTCAAAGCCAGTATGAAGTGTCAGCGTCTAAGCAACTACAACTCAAATCCAGCCGTGTGATTAAATCCAGTTCTGAATGTGGACGGGCCATTTTTGTCTCCCTGTATTTTTCTGTGTAGCTCCGTGTTCCGTGCCTCTGCTAATTACAGCCTGCACAGCCACAAAGAGCATTTTCATTTCAGTGGGGAAAGTGAGGAAAAGGGAAAAGTCCTGATCCAGCTCAAGCAGCGACTTCTTGTTTAAAGGGTCTTATTAATGTACCTTTTTCCACTGTGCCGCATTTTTGTGCGCCAACACAAATTTGATTACCACCTGTGGTTGCCAGAAGAAATAATGGGGGACATAGTTACACAAAACCCAAACTGGACGTGCATTTATCTCAGGAGATATAATTTTTAAACCCAACAAGGCATTATTGCTCTTCTAAAGCACATAAAAATGTTTTACTGTTTCATTTCAAACTCCCCTTGGACTCTGAACTGTAATGTTTTGGTTGACTTAGAGGCTGCAGCTCCGAGTCTGCATTCTAATTATCTTCCAATATGAGTACATGGAGCTATCTGATGCCCAGTGACCAGTTTTCTGTCCACTGTGCCAGGGCGATCCATCCTTGCTTTCCTTGTGTAGCAGGCCACTCATTGCAGCATCTGTTTCAAGGCGATGTCGGGCGATTCAGGATGGATTGAAGGGTCAGGGAGTGTACAAGAGCCTGTCACTCTGATTTCTCTGGGTCTTTAGAGCACAGCAGACTGCTTTCTAAACCGACTGAACTGTCAGACCACATACTTTTTCACTCTGCATGATTTATTTGCACATCCTGTAAAGATTCTCTTGAAGCTACAGTTAAAGGTTGGTGTGCATTGGACTCATTGGACTGTTTTAACGCTGCTGGATTGAGGAAGAATTCTCTCAACAATCTTTGGTGAAAATGTGAAAACACTTTGGGGGCAGATACAGATTTTTCGATACAGATATATAATAACAATTGGAGATATCCTTATTTAAGCTTTATGACAAAGACCCTTGACACTTTCCAGTTAATTGGGCAAGAGGTGGGGTTATATAGAACTTGAATGAAGAAAATAAAAAGTTTTATTACATATTGCAAACAAAAATGCATCTTTTCTGCATTGTTTATTCTGTTTAATACAAGTTTTCATATCGGCAAACAAATGCAGATACCAATGTATCTGTTATAGGCTCATATCACACAATTTTACTATCCTATCGATAAATCGTAATGGCTCTAGACAATACGGAAAGAAAATGAAATCTTCTTCCTCCCATAATGCACATTGCTCATTAATGATTGAAACAGGATGTTTAGACAAATGGTCATCAATTAAAATGACTTTTTGCTCATCAGCTGTTATGATGTCGACAGTTGGATGATAAATGACAGACTTGTGGTTTATTTCAGTCAGCTGAAGTGTCCACTCCTGAGGATTGTTCACCACATGTCCTCGAGCTCTGATGTATGAGTTGAATCAAATCAAAGCAGCTGCAGCCATGTTGGAATTACCTGCTTGTTGGAGCTTGTGGCCTCCTCCAGAGACAACTTATTGCAGACAGATGGATGTATCACTGCTGTAACCAGCTTTATCTTATCCCTCCAAACACATTTCCACAGCTTCACCTACTGGACATTCATCTATTTGTCAATAATTTTAACTCATTTCATCCATTTCTGGTTTCAGTTGGGATGAGAGCAGCTCCATAAGCAGCGGCCTCAGCGACGGCGATGGTTCGGATAACCTCAGCTCAGAGGAGTTCAACGCCAGCTCCTCTCTCAACTCCCTCCCGAGCACACCCCTGGGCTCCAGACGCAACTCTTCTGTCATGGTGAGCTGAAATACTGTCGCTCTAACACCGTGTGGTGGCATTTCCTTTTCCTTCGTGTTGTTTTGTTTGGAAAAGCGGTGCTAAAGAAAGTGATGTGCATTGTACTGTGTGTTAAATGTGAGTTGACACAGGGCCACAAAAAGAAGCCACAGACCTCACCTCTGTCATTACGCCGGAACGACACAATCTGTCACAGTACCAACCCTCCACTGCACAAACACTGAAAACGGAAGTAGGAGACATTTTGAGTGCAGTAGATTTACTTTAAAAGAGCAATAGTTTCTTTTTTTTATGGCTCCACGAGGGCGACACCCAGTGGCAGGAAGTATTTTGTTTTCAGGGTTGTTTGTCCGTCTGTCAAATCTGAGCAGTTGTCATTTGGACTCAAAAGATTTCAGAGGTCAAAGGTCATGGTGACCTCATTTGAGTTTGGGGGAAAACAATCATGTTGATTGAAACATCACCGGCAGACGCATTCATCCGCGGGGTGGAAACTCTAGTTATAGATTGTTTTTTTTAATAAGGAAGAAAAAGTAGATGTAATCAGAAATGGCTCCTACCTTTCTCCCAGGTTATAACAGGAATCTGCTGACTTGCAGATTGCACTTGGAAGAAATTACCATTAGTGGGAGTCAGTGAGCCATCTGTCGCTCTGCATCACATTCATATTGTGCCAAGAAGCAGCATGACCAGTTTTGTCCCCGATGCTACCTCTTCAATGCACCACAGGATCTTTCTCTTAGTGCAGCCGTCTTTTTTTTGGTCCTCTGCACAGAAACACATAAAAAAAACAAAAAACTTGACTTTTACTCTATTTTTACATTTTCTGTTTCATCCCCCAACACATTGATTTATGATTTAAGTTTTGAATCAATAAAAAAAAAAAAGTTTTCATTTTATTGCTTTCCATCCTTTGTCTTTGTTTTTCTTCAATCTGCTCTGGGTGTGTGAATCTTTCTCACCTCTTCCCGCTGGAATGCAGTTTAGATGAAACAAAGATTACAGAGCACAGCCAATTCCACAGATAACACAGACCATAACTGAAGGTTGCCCACACTCTTCCCCTCCTCTCCTCTCTGTGCAGCTCCGCACTGATGCAGAGAAGCGCTCCCTGGTGGAAAGCGGACTGTCTTGGTACAGCGAGGATGGCAAAGCCAGCCACAAGCTGGATAGCTGCAGCTATGAGACAGGGAGTCTCAAGACAGAGGCCCCAAGCAAGTGGAGGAAGAAGCCTCCAGGCCTCGGTGAAGATCCAGGGAGTAAAGGTGAACTGAAGAAGCCGCAGAGTTTGGGTCAACCAGGGAGTTTCAGGAAGGGTCGTAATCCTCCTGTGGGCGTCACCTCCCCCATCACCCACACATCTCAGAGCATGCTCAAAGTTGCAGGTGAGATCTCATGAAAACATGTTCTCCTCTTTCATTTCTCTGCTTATTTCTTTGTCTCTTTGTCTGATGTTCCTCTCATATTCAAATTCCTGATGGATCACTGCCACTGTTAGCTTGTTTTAACTGTAAAATCGATGTCATCCATTATGTCTTTGTGTAATGAATCCAAATGTGAAACAGAGTCTGTTTGTAGAGCAGCCAAAGCGGATGTCTGCTTGGTGTCAAGATGAAAAGAGAAGTGAACCCCTGAGCTCAAGCCAGGTTTTCATTTGTAACTCGCCGCAGTATACTGATGAAAAAATTCACCATGAAAAACCATTTTATTGAGGAAAAAAAAACAGCGTGGCCCAAAGCCATGTTTCTTCCAAGACCTGCAAAAGCCAGTGACTGTACATGTGTACTGAGACACTGTGTCTCCTGTCCACATCAACTGCATTTATTTTTATGTCCTCTAATCCTCAAGAAAACAGTCCTTGATTAAATAAAGGGTTTAAATTGAGATCCAATATCAACATTTCTTGACCTTCATGTTGATGTGCTCAGCTTAATTTCAGCTTTAAAAACAAGTGATTATAAAATTAGTTCTGATTGTATGTCTTTTGGAAGCAGCATAAAGGGAAAAACATACTCAGTGGACAGAATTTTTAGGCAAATTCTTGGTTAACAAATTCACATAAGATGTGTTTATTTTTAACTTTAACAAGTTCCCTCTTTCACTCATATTTTAATGTCTTATCCAGCTTTGACTTTAATGATCCAGCAGTTTGATTTTATCACTGTAAAATATTTTATGGTATGGGTTAAAATGTTTAATTTTGCATTAGACCCTTTTAGACAGTCTGTTGCTGAGTCAGACTTGACATCATGAGCACAAAATGAAAAGTAAATACAGATGTTTCTATTTCTCTGGGGAGAGAGAAATGATGTATGACTGCGTGGTTGTCGTTTACCTGGTTCGCACATCAAGTAAACACATCAGATCAATCCACACAATCATGTTCTTCATTGTGTGGCTAATGATGCATTCATGTGGCGTGAGAATAATTGGAAAAATTGATTTGTGACTGAGAAGATTCATGGGAACACAACGTTAAATCAAAACAACAACACAGAAAGTTGGCAGAAAAATGTGGTGTGGCTGACGTCATCACTTATAAACCAATTTCTACAATTTTACAGCTTTAAATTGTAGCTTTTAAAGTTAAGTTGTCAAATGTTACAGTATTTTTACTCGCTAGCACTGAGTACCAGAGTTTTTAGCCAATACAGACGTTTTTATGATTAACTTGTATACATTTTTTATATGCGAGTCACAGCTGAAGTGAGTTCTTTTGTTTGGTCTTTGTTAATATGCAAACAATAATTTCAAAGGTGTCCTGGAGATGTTTAAATGCTCTAAACACATTAAACCAGCGTATTTTGTTTACAGTGTGTTAATCCACCTTCATAAATCAAACAGCTTGTTGCAACTTATCCTTGTTTAAATTCTATTAGCTGTAAATAAAATGTTGTTACTCAACCAGTCAGCTTTGTTCTTTCTTTATGCAGCACCTAAAAGTGAGAGGCCGCTGGACAAATCCAAGATGTCCATTAAAACTGCTGGTCTGCAACGGTCTCGCTCTGACGCTGGCCGGGATCATCATGGAGAGCACCGCAAGCCTCCATCAGGTTTAGTTAAACCCACTGCTGGAGCGTCCTTTGGGTATAAGAAGCCACCAATCGCCACTGGCACCGCCACTGTTATGACAGCAGGGGGCACCACCATCTCCAGCGGCTCTGCTACTGTGGGGAAAATCCCCAAGTCATCTGGCATCCCTGTGAAGCCTGTGGGTGGAGGGATACCAACAGGTCGAAAGAACAGTTTTGATGCCAGCAACGAGCAGAGCTTCTTGGGACCAAACGCCCGAAACAGCATTCAATACCGCAGCCTGCCTCGACCGGCCAAATCCAGCACGCTCAGTGTGATCGGTCGCCCCGCAGTTCGTCCTGTCAGCGGCACCATTGATCCCGGCCTGTTGAGTTTGAAGCCTTTGCCCATGGCCTCCGCAGGCCCCAGGGTCAAAGAGCTGAGTAGCTGCGGCAGTAAGATGACGGCTCGAACCAGCACAGGCCCAGTGAACCAGACAGACCGAGAGAAGGAAAAGGAGAGAGCCAAGGCGAAGGCTGTGGGCGCCGACATGGACTGTGGCTCTCTGAAGGGAGACGACACTCGGTCCGGGACAGCAGGAGAGTCCACTTTGAAACTGCACGGCCTGAGACGGACCAGCAGCGGCAAATACCCTGAACTGTCATCACCCACCACGCCAAGGTCTCTCATTCACATACTGCTTTAAAGGGCCATTTCACCTAAATCGCATGAAAAGCACATTTTCTCACTGACCTCTCGTGGTGTCTTGCCTTGTGGGAAGTTCTTAGTTTTATTATATACATTTGATATTCTCAGTATCTCCACAGCCAACAGTGGTTTAGGAATTTCAGTTATGGCGCCCACAGGATTGAAAGATTGCACCTACAATATTCAACAGCAATATCTCTTCCAAGAGACAGTCTAAACAATCTAGAGGACTTGCTGTCTGTATATTGTTTGATGTTGCTGTTTGATTTACAGGCAGACATCTTGGATTCAGATGTCAAATACAAACACAACTAGATAATTTGATTTCTGTGATTTGAAAAGACTATAAAAGTGAAAGACACCATGAAATGAACAATAAAAGAAATGAATAACACACGTCATACACACACATGAGTCAAGTGATGATTTTGTTTTGAACATGACCCAGGACATCCCCCTAGTTTCTGTTTTTGACATCTTGTTTCTTCTGTCTGATTCCTAGGATGCTAAACACAAAGTCTCTGGGTCGTCCACCCAGCCTGGCTCACCTGGACAAGGTTAACTCGAACAGTCTTGACTCCTGCGTGACCATTCATGACCTCCCACCCAAAGTCCCCCCGTACTCGAAGCTTCAGGACTTGGCTGGTTCCCACACCGCTGGTCGCCTCACCCCTAGCCCAGCGCCCATCCTCCACATCGATTCCCCCAGCTCCTACACCAGTGACAGCCTGAGCCTGAGTGGATCACCACTGCTGTATCCCAAGCTGATGCACCGCAGCATGGAGTCCTTGCCCCTGCAGATGAGCGTCCCCTCCAGTGCGAGGTTTGTCACAGCTGAGAGGCACGATAAGCAGGAGAGGGCCACAGGGACCTGGGGGGCCGGGAGCAGAACGTCCCTCAACCTCACTGATAGGCAAGTCTCAGAAGAGAGAAGATGTGATTCTGTCAATTCTTTTTCATTTTTTAAAATTTTTATTGTACTTTTTATATGAGGTGAGATCACAAATAAGCATTTTAAGCCCAATGCAAGAACACATTTGTATTCTTCACCTGAATTTACCCATTTGTTTGTATGGTCAGTTTGGTTGAAAACTCAAACTAAGAGAAAATGATGGAATGTAACATGTTCACCTGCACAAAGAAAAACAAAATGTTTTCCTGTGATTCAGAGTTCAATCATTTTGTTGCACAAACAAGCAACTCAAGAAGAAGAGTCCACTCTGTCCAGGAACTCTTAATCTTAATCCCCCAGAAATGAAACATGAATAAATAAACCATGGATCTGTCGTCCTCACTTCAATGGACAACAGCCAGTGTTTCAACATCAAGCTTTAAGTTTCTTGGCAGTTCACATACATCCACCCATATTTTATGTGCCTTTTCTGGGAAAGGAAAGTCTGAGCTGTCATTTAGAGGATGAAGGTTTGGATCCACTGACAGACTGAGTTTGTCAAGATGGCCCAAATGATTTCCTGCCAAAGACGGGTACCCACGCAGAGTGTGTACAAGTGCCCAGTGTGCTACATGGACTAGATTTACAAAAAGGATTAAAGAGCCATGAGATGTCTTAGATGTAATGCAGGTCTTATGACAAATGAACATGATAGTGATTTTGTATATTTTTATTATGATTTTAACACTTTTTCTCTCTGTCAATTATGTTTTTTATTTTATTTTACAGCTTGCAAGCGGACAGAAACACCTTGCCGAAGAAAGGCTTAGAGTACGTCCAAACTTTTCTTTCTAATATCTCACACTGTGATGTGTCTTCAAATGGTTTAAAGTTAAAGTCACCTCTCTCCTCTCAGACGTTACGGCTCAAGCCTGTCGGACAGTGATGGAAGCAAACCAGGCAGGCGCCACTCCCACACCATAGTCGGCATGACAGAGAGTGACAGCCCCCCCCAGCTGCCTTCTCCCACCCGCATGCTCCACCCCTCATCCGGCAAGGCTCCTCTCACCAACGTGGGTGAGTCTGCCTCTTCACTTTGGCTGCCAAGTTCTAAAAACACTCAAGCTCTGAAACTAATGAGACCTGAGATCTTTGATAAGCCATCCGTCTTATCGTTGATAATTACCCAGCAGAGAGGTATTGAGTTCACACTCGGAGCCGTCCAGATAAGTTTTCTGAAGTTAAGAAATGTTGACACAACTATCTGTCATATCCAAGTGGTGAAGTGGTGACCAAATACTTTAATATCAGATTTAACCTTGTGAAGATGATGATCCTGTAACTGGACTTAACTTAAAGTCTGAATTATGCAGGAGATAGAGGCAATACGGGGTGAAGTCGGTCTATATTAAGCTCTTTGACTGTTGTGGAACCAAGGTTTTGCCTTTCGTTGAGTCATCAGAATGAGGGGCCGTACCTAGGTGTAGACCTTCTTGTGTGTGTTTCTCTGCAGCGCTGCATCCTCCACTTTTATTTTTTTCTTACCGAATGTGTCTCTTTTGTTGATAGTTGCCCCAATTTCCAGCGGCACTCCGAGGATCTCGCGCTCGAACAGCATTGGCCCCCCCGGTGACTCAGCCTGTGATCTCTATGGAACCTCCCCCCTGGGCAGCAGTATGTCACTGGCTGACCGGCCAAAAAGCATGATGCGGTCGGGGTCTTTCCGTGAACCAGGGGATGATGGTGAGCCTCAAGTGGCCTCCCTGCAGGGGAGTCGCCAAACATGGCCTCACATGAAACAAAGCTGGGCACTCATAAGCCAAACATCAGAATATAATTTATTTTAAGTGGAGAGGAGTCTGTGTGTCTTCATTTTAGATTAAAAGGGAGTAACTCAATGACTCAAAAGTATAATTCACATGTAACCATAACAACAAACCACTCACCAGCAACTTAAACCAGTGAAAGAAAGTTAAAGTGACCGTATTTAAAGTATTCAAAGAAATTTAATGAAGTAAATATTAAAAGTATTTTTTACTAACACAAAGTTTAAGATAATATACCAAAGGTGTGTTCACATTGTGTAATGTCCTTAAAAAGAAACGTCTTTGTTATTTGAAACCATAATGAAATGAAATCATGATATCGATGTTTATCTTTAACTTTCTTACAGTACATGGCTCTGTACTGTCTTTGGCGTCCAATGCTTCATCGAACTATTCCTCGGTAAGACGATACTTACCAAATGTTTTTATATTACTTATATCAAGCTTGTGTTTCACTCTTCTCATATCTATGACACTTCAGTATTGTCCCTCTCACAGTGGATGAGTAGTAAAAGTACTAAAATGAGATCTCTTCATTGTTTACCATGCCTTCGTTAGAATGAGGAGAGGATACAAGGGGAGGTAAGGCCGACGAGCCGCAACTCTTTAAACCACACTACTCTTCCTCATCTGTCAGTCATTTCCTGTTGAAGCAGGTCCATCCATCAGATGATGTTTTCAGTACTGTGACCACTCATCTTTATCTCTGGAGCTCATAACTCAGTTCATTCTGTTTTATGTCTCATATTCTTTGTCCTTCAGCTCTAGCCGCTAACATTTAATGAAGTCATTTTCAGACCTCATAAAATTCTCAGCGCATGAGGAAAAACCCATTAACCTCCCATGATCATAATATTTTGATTTGGTTTGGAATGTGTTCACCTTGTTTGTGAATCATTCCACTTTTTATTGAGGAGCGAAACCTTTCATGGTTTGTTGTTTGTATATTTGTGTAGTTTTTTATTTGACCAAACAAACCAACACATTCCACTATCACGTTATCGTTGTTAAAACCCATTTTAACTTTTCCAGCACCTCAAGCTCATGTTTAATATGATTGTAACGCTCATACTGCTCAGACTTACTTTGTAAGTTTGTCTGCAGCAAATCCGGAAGCTGAGGCGTGAGCTGGAGTCCTCCCAGGAAAAGGTTGCCAACTTGACAATGCAGCTTTCTGCCAACGTAAGTAGGACTTTTTTTTTTTTTTAAGTGACTTGGACGCATTATTTATCAGAGTGGTATGAATCCAAAATGTAAATTAAATGTTCTTAAAGTCAGCATTTACCATCAGCAGACATTTGGACCAGTCACCTCACAAAAGGCCAAGGTGTTCTTGGTAACTTCAGGAGTTGTGCAAGTGCACACAGGCAACTGGACTCGCTAGTGTTTCTGGAAACTGTGAGAACCAAAGACGCCTTTTGGATTAGACCGAAAACGTATTCAAGAAACAGACGAAGTCCAGTTGCTTATTAAGTCCTGAGGTTTCCATGACATTGCAAAAATATTTAGGATCCATCATCTCGAGTGTCACAGCAAACATGCCATGCTTCCTGTCGTCTCGCTGCCCCTCACCTCTGATAATTTGATGGATATGCATTTAACCTTAACCCTTAATGTTCACTTTGAACCTTTAATTTCTCTCAGCTTTGCCTCTTTTTTCAATTTTTCTCATCACGCAGCATATTTTACTCTCTGCCTTTGCATAACTTGCAACTAACCTGTGTGTTTTGAACACATTAGTGAAGTCTATCTTTGTGTGTGTGGGTGTGTGTATTTTTGTATGTATTTAATGAGAAGCTTTATCACACCCCTAACGCCCCTGTCCCTCTCTTTCACCCTTGTGGCTGTATTGACTACTGGACTCGCTGCTGTCCCCCGCGCTCCCTCCCGCTGACCCACACCTCTGGATGCTGGGTGAAGCAGCTTGGCCAGGTTTGTTGGACTGCTGCTTTCAGAGCGCTTTCTGTTGCTTCCCACGTGAATCTGATTGGACGCCAAGCTGACAAGTTGCTGTCACACATCTCTGTTGAGGCTGACGGTGTGCCACAGTCGACCCTCATCACCTACCTTGAAGCATGTTGACGAGGGCTAAAGTCAATGATTATTTTTTTATCAACCATTAATCTGTCCTCTATTTTGTCTGTTATTTATTTGGCCTGTAAAATGTCATAACACAGTCAAAATACTTTGCACAATTTTTAGATAAATAGGATAAAAAGGAGTGAAAAAGAGAATGACAGGCAGGGTACATTTAAATGTAAAAAGAGGTGAAGACACTCAGACCAACTACACAGGTTTCCTCAAACTACCAAAACAAAAGAAGACACTATACAGATATAAAGCCAAATTAAAGGGACGCTCAGCAGAGCACGCACTTCTCCCAAGGCCCAACAGTCTCCTAACGAAAGCACATTTACATTTGGTAGATTGCGCTCATAAATATCTGTCCCCAAACACTGGGTCTAAACTTGCTCACAAACAAACCGACATACACCTGATAAGCGTGGAAAGGTAAAAAAGAAGACACAGAACCAAAAACCTAAAAACAACACCCACCATCATCATCAGCAATGGTGTGAGACATCTTAGTCCAAAGGTCAAACATGCTCCAGGAGGTTGAGGATTGTCTGACAGTGCCACGTGGTCCCTCCTTCACCACCATAACCCTAACCTCCTCTTTCATCTCTGACATCATCCACAGCTGTCCGCCACTCCATCCCCTCCCTCTCCTCCCTGCAGACGGAGAAAAGCCATTTGTGTGATGTGCTCTTGAGTGCGAGACTGCAGAGCCATTTTATTCAGCCGGTGACTCATACCTGTTTCCTCTCTCAAACCCCCCTATCTGTCTCTCTCTCTCACTGCCTGTCTCTGCTGTCGTCTCTTTCCCTTAAAGGCTAATCTGGTGGCAGCATTTGAGCAGAGCCTGGCGTTGATGACGGCACGACTAGAGACCCTGTCGGTCTCCTCGGATCAAAAGGTATCTCTGTGATATCATGATGTATCATGAGACTGTTACATCCATGACTGTTTCCTTTTACATGTAGAAGAAATACATTCCAAACAGAGTCCGTAACACTTGGAGAAATACACAACATGATAATGTGTATAATTGTTAATTGTGAAAGTGATGTCATCAGTTCACATAGTTGACCTGGAAATAAGATCAAGTGAGATCGAAGGTTTGCAATGTGTGATGTCTTCGATGTTGTCATCAGCCACTCAGCACGACCTGCCATCCTCATCTGAAAGCAGATAGTCATTCCACAGATCCTCGCATCAGAAGCATCTTGGGTCAGTTACCGTTCTACAAGCTGACATGAGGTCATATCGATGTTTCTGCTCTTCAGGACTCGGAGCTCACTGAGCTGAAGGAGACCATCGACATTCTGAAGACTAAAAACACAGAGGCCCAAGAAATCCTCCATGAGGCTCTCAGTGATCCAGAAATCACACCCAAAGGTACATGACATGCAGACGATGAAGCTTTTGGTTGGACACTTCAAAAACTTCCCTCCCAATATTCAATTTGCTCTTCTCTCTGTTCTGTTTTCAGAGCTGCTGATCAATCGGCAGAACTCGTCAGAGAGCATCTCCAGCCTCACCAGCACCACCAGCCACTCCAGCATGGGGAGTCTGAAAGAGCAGGAGGCCAAGAAGAAGAAGAAGAAGAGCTGGGTGAGGACTCACAGGCAGACACACAAGTGGTGGTCACACTGATTACAGACACTCAAGAGTTTGGTTACGTTCGGTTTGTTATTTGCAAAATATTTGGAGCGCCGGAGGATTTGGGGATCACCACAACAAGAGTCAGCAGAATGTGTGCAGCAAAACTTCTCACAAATACGAGAACAGATACATTTAAGCAACACTTTGCAGTGGTTGATGAATCAAATGTTTTTCTCTTCAGTGTTTAAACACAGTGAGGGTTTAACATTTGATCAGATCTGTTTATCAAGTGTTTCACTCTCTGCTCATAAAACCACAACCTTCACTAGGGAGCAACATTAAGGAAATAATCATCTGACGTCTATCGTGATAATTAATGACATCAACTTAATCTTGATTAAATCTTTGACCATATTACAGAGCCCATGTTTAATTGCTGGGCCTGTGTCCAGTGCCTGTCAAGTAATCTATCCATGTAAAAATCACTTATTGCAAACTACAACGAATGCCGGTGGGAATTTGTTTTGCAAGTTGGTTACAAAGATTCAACCTGTGGAGTTTGTTGAAGAATTTCACGGCAATCGATTCATATTTGATCAACAAATTAATGATTTATTAAGAGTCAATAAAAAGTTGTAATAGTCTGATTAAACAAGTCACATGATCAATATGTGCACTTTATGAATGCCAATGCGGAATAAAGAATAATTTAGTAATAATTAATATTAGAAAAAACAAATACAAGGGATGAAAATTAAAAAATTTAATCTAAATCTGATAAATGTAAGTAGTAGAATGTTAATACTGACGTAGCATGTAGGTGAGATGTTGGGCTTCTCTCTGACCAGTGTAGCTAAGTGGAGCATTCGATGTGAAACCTTCAGTCAGCTGCTTTCCTACTTTGTGCTCCTGCATGCGCACACGTGTGATTCTCCTCCTATCTTGTTCCCGATCTGTTATTAAGTATGACTCTGGTCTTTCCCTCATGCTGCCCTGCTTTTTATTTTAGGTCTTTGAGGTGAGTGATGTTGCTCCAGTAAATAAAACTGTTAGTCCCAAATCCCTCCCACCACCACCACCACCCCCATCTCCAGCCTGCACGGACTTTATGAGTCATACAACATGTGGAAACTCTCTATCATACATGTCTTTTTAAATGTGATTCACCATCTTACTTTGTACTATTTTCTGAATTTAGAAATCCTCATTGTAACTTTACTCGTCCCTGAACAGTTGCGTAGCTCTTTCAACAAGGCCTTCAGTAAGAAGGGTTCCAAGCCGTCAGGGCCGTATGCCGACATCGAGGAGATCGCCACCCCAGAATCCTCTGCACCTCCCTCCCCCAAGGTCCACAATATTAGTGATACTCCCTCGTCCACAATTAGATCCTCGACCTCTGCATCATCATCCGGGTAAATCTTTTAACGATAAGGATTTTTTAAAATACTTGATAGAACTGCAGGAGAAAGTAATCTGGTGTTAATGTCAGTAATTGATGTTAATATGTGTTATTGCTTCTTGTGTTCATTTTTTCTGAACTGATCAATGAATGAGATCTGTCAGTCTGCTGATCCTCGCTGCCTCCACAGCTCTCTAATGTGTTCTCGTGTGAACTACATGTGTGCAGACTGTGTGAAGGAGGTGATGAGGAGGCGGATGACAAGGTCGTGACAGAGCTGCGTACAGAGCTGTGGGAGAAGGAGCTAAAACTGACAGACATCCGCCTGGAGGCTCTGAGCTCTGCTCATCAGCTGGAGCAGCTGCAGGAGGCCATGAACGGCATGCAGGCATGTGTGATAGCTCCCTTTATCAATATTTGTATGTCAGTTAATTGATTTTTCACACAAAACATGGTATTGTGCTGAATGCAACAATTTGGAGAAGCAGACTTTAACTCTATTAGATGAAAAACTTTAATGTGTAATCAACCACTTTTCTGCTACTTTAGTTACATTTCCATGTTTCCCCATGTCATCTAATTTATTTTGTTGTACATGGTTCCTGTAATTTGTTTTAAAAATTAGATTTTATGATGGATTGTATGTATGAACACTGCAGAAACAGTTGTGATTTGTTCTGTAGAAGACAGTGGAGAACCTTAAGGCTGAGAACGACCACCTGAAGACGGGTGGTCCGTCCCCCTGTCCGTCCCCCGGCCCCTCCAGCTCCGTCTCCCAGTCCTCGGGTCTCACCGCGCTGGAAAGTTCATCGCCGCGACAGTCGGTGGCAATGCAAATGCCAAAAAGCTACAGCAGAGGGCTGAGTGAAGGGAGCTCAGGTAAAGTTAAATCCGTGAAAATGTAGACTTGCATTGTTTTCACCAGTGTGGTTAACATGAAGACACTGTAGTAAATGCTATTTACACACACAGAGCAACAAGTAAATAAGTGTTATGTATGTAGATATTTAAAGTTTCTGTCTTCTGGCCTAAAAATCTTGTCCCTTGGTGTTAGATTCTTTCTTCCCACCCACAATCTGTTCTAGACAATCTAGAGATAAGTAAAAACAGACATTGGGTCGCATGTTCACAATTTTTCTAATACCAGTTATTAATCTGTTCTTTTTAGGGCGTGACAATCACATAATTTATATTATTGGAAAATTAAGCTTTTATTTATAAGGTTAGACGTCGTACAAATCCCCTTTTGTTTCCTCCTCTTCAGACGTCCACTCTGCAGAGTCTCTCAGCCTGTCCTCACAGAGGGACGATCACCGTGTCCGGGTGGTGGTTTGTGTTGCGGATTTGCACGTCTTCAAAGATGTAAGTCTTGTTCCTCATCACCCTCGTCAGACTAATAATAAATGAATATTACAAACATCTTTTTATTCCCATGTTTGTATCAACAGGAGGTGAAGCAACAGGATTTCTTTGTGGGCACCGTCAGGGTGAACGGGAGGATGGACTGGACCATGCTGGACTCGGCGGTCGGTCAGGCTTTCAAGGTGAGACGTCGTCTTCTGACCACTCAGTTCAGTGACATCTGTCCACGAACTGAATGTTCAGTTTGCGTCAATCTTGTTCACACATGTAATTCAGCTGTCATGTTAATTTTAGCATGGCCAACAACTGGGCAGTGGTGAAAGCTAAGAAGCTGAAATAGCATCTTCCCCTAACTACTCTGCAGTACCGCTCAAATTCTGGTTGCAATAAAAACAACAAAGACAGTGAAAAAAAGACAGACATAGATTTACTGTGACCGTAAAGAATTGTATTTACAAGGCTATCCATGTCTTTCCAGTGAGCTGCTGATTCATTTCATAGTGTGTATGGGACCCAATAAACCCAGAGGGCTCAGGAGCAGGAGCTTGTAACCCTCATGTGCAGACCATGTTTCTCCTGGGAGACCGATTAAAGCTCTGAGACGTCACATTTGTTAAAATCTTGTGTTTAATTGTGCATTTATATTCATTCTCATTCTAAAAGCACAAAATTCTGCTCATGCAGTTTTACTCAGTTCTCTTTTTTTCTGCCCTTTTCCCTTCAGGTGTACATAACCAAAGTTGATCCCACCTCCAGCCTGGGTCTGTCCACTGACTCCATCTACAGCTACAGTATGGGCCACATCAAGAGAGTGCTGGGAGGAGACGCCCCTGAAACGCAACCCTCTCGCTGCATGTCCCGAGGACCCAGCAGCATCACCGTGTCTCTGAAAGGTCTGTGATGACATGTGATATGTGCAACTAGACTGGATTTAAGACTGAAGCTTCATTTCATGAAGTCATTGTTCAATAAATAATTCCTAAACATAGACAAGAAAAAATACCCAAACTCAAAACACACAGTCCATCGATACTAAATGTGGAGTGTTCAGTGGACGGGTTTGACGTGTACTTTTCTGTAATCTGGTTTTTCTTGTCTTCACACTTTTAAGTCTGTTATGAGAGGGGAGGGAAGTGAGGGCCAGTTGAGGGGTCTCACCAGCTAACCGCCTGGTAACGTCCAGTCTCACATCTCTAATAATAGAACAACAAATATTTTCATTACAAGCAGCATCTTCACAGATTCAGTTTTCAGAGATGGTTTTGGTCATTTTAGGGTTTCTTGATTGACAGCTGAGGCTGACTTACGATTGGTTGACGCGTGTATCTACACGACCTTGCTACCGCGGCTCCATCCCCCAAACACTATTGTGCACGGTGTCGCTCCAAATGTTTAAGATGTATCTGGGATATTTTTGGCTTCATTCTTGGATAGTGGGAGGAATCAGACACAAGTCGGCCATCTTTATTTATAGTTTACAGTCAGAACGTCTGCATCAGCTGTTTATTGCAGTGTTAATGCAAATCCTCGTCTGTTTGTTTACCACAGCAACTGCTGCCGTCTGTACGTCATGTTCAGTATTACTTTACATCTCTTTTCTTTTTATGTCTGTATGGGTTTACTTACATTGAGCAATATAATTTAAATATGCAGCAGAAACTCAAATGACCCTCTGGCAGCTGATAAACTCATTAATTCAACAACATTAAAATAGGTTTTAATGTAAATTGTTATGTTAGGTAGGTGTTTTAATTTGGTTATATTATGCATTCTGTTGTAGCACACTACCAGTGCAGCCACAGTAACAGCAGTGTTTTGATTTGTGAGGAGCACATGTGTGGAGCCCATCAGTGATTCTAAACTAGAGCTGTGGTCGGTGAGGAGAGCCGAGGTTGTGGCTCGGCAGTCGACCCCTCTGCACCTTCGCATGAAGGAATGCGAAGGCGAAGTGCTAGGAGAGCTGGGAAAGCAGCGGCAGCCCAGACAGAGCTCTGGGTAACATGATCCCAGCGTAGCCAGGCCCAGCTGGCCGACCAACCCTCAGACACATGGGCCCCATGGATGTTAAGGCAGCGGAGGCTGCACAGACTCACGTCACAACACGCAAAGTTATTTTCAGAGCAGAAGTCTTGAGCTCCATGTTGCTTATGAAGGACATGGGAGGTGATATCAATCCGTTATCACATCATCTTCCTGCCAGAGCTCTTCCTGCTTGTAGTGTATATTCTTTTATATAGATATTAAGATAAATCTGAACAAGCAGTGAAATATCAAGTGTCAAACTGGACTTCATCACTAACTTTAATATGTCCTGGGTAATTAGCAGGTGCTCATCAGCTTCATTGCTTATTACTGCGCAGTTCATTCTCACCTCTCCTCACTATGTCCAGGTTTAAAGGAGAAGTGTGTGGACAGCCTGGTATTTGAAACACTCATCCCCAAACCCATGATGCAACACTACATCAGTCTGCTGCTCAAACACCGCCGCCTCATCCTGTCCGGACCCAGCGGGACGGGGAAGTCCTACCTCGCCTCCCGGCTGGCCGAGTACCTGGTGGACCGCAGCGCCCGCGAAGTCTCCAATGGCATCGTGGTCACTTTCAACATGCACCGTCAGTCGTGCAAGGTAATGGAAACGTATATCTCCAAAGAATCTGTTCACCAGTGGTTTACGCACTCTTATGCCGTCTCACCTCTGTTTGCCATCTCCCGCTTTCTCTCCTCAGGATCTGCAGCTTTATCTTTCCAACCTGGCCAATCAAATTGATCGAGAAACCAGCACCTCCGACATACCGCTGGTGGTCATTCTGGATGATGTTCACAATCCTGCCTCTATCAGCGAACTTGTCAACGGTGCTCTCACCTGCAAATATCACAAATGGTAACATCCACAATCGAAAACAGCTGAAAAAAATATAGATAAATATATATTTATGAGATGATTATTGAGTAATCTAATGTTCTGTGCCTCTCCCCTTTCAGTCCTTACATTATTGGAACAAGCAACCAGCCAGTGAAGATGATTGCAAACCATGGACTTCACCTCAGCTTCAGGTCGGTGAAAGAAAATATTTTCTTCTCCTGTTTTATTTGTGTGTTATGGTCTGTGGATAAATTCCTCCTGATTAAACTGAGATTAGATTTGAAGCTGACTGTAGAATAAACCGGTCAATACAATAAAAGCATCTTTAGTCTAGACGATAACACAGTGTGCGTTATTGTGTTTATGTTTGAAGAAGTAAAGTTTGAATTCAGTTTTGTGAATATCAGTAATTATTTTACTCTGTTATGACTCAGTAAACAAATTGTATTATTCAATAAGTTAACTTTTTAATAAATCGCTATTTCTCACACTTGAGATTCATTAAAAACATTCACCTAAGTAACGCATATAAATGTGAAAGTCAAAATAATGGGACTTTGTTAGAATAGAACGTTTTTATTGTCATTGTACAAAAGAACATTAATATTAGAGGTGATCTTCTGATGAATACACAACGTATACAAGCAGCTGCACCCCACCATCACCACACATGATAGACTGACCTTGACCATTTCATGGAAGACGTGTTAGTAAAGAAATGTATTTCAGATTATTGATTGTTTAATTGGGTTTCTACTGTCAAAATACTGTTGGTAGCTTTTGTAGTTGTACCAGTCTTTAACCAGTTCCCCCCCTACGACTTCAACTTAGAGACAGTGTGAAGCAAAGTCAGTCATTCGTCTCCTAACATGCTTTACATGTGAGGAAGTGATTCTTGAAAACATGTGAAAGGAAAGGGAACTAGAGCTAGAGCACCCTAACAGCAACCCGCTGTAGTTCTGCTGCGTGAAGGAAGCTGTGAGCAGACGACGCTGCACTTGATAACACATTGTTCTGTGGCCTCACAAACTCAGACAGTACATTTTTAATTGCTTCACACGGTCATTAAACTGTGAACTGTTGATGTGAGGGGTAAAAGCGTAACTAATGCTGTTCTACTCGTGTACACTCAGTATTTGTATGGTAACTATGACTGTTTGCATGTTACCTCTCATTCTCTTAAGGATGGTGACCTTCTCCAACAACGTGGAACCAGCCAACGGCTTCCTGGTGCGATATTTGCACAGGAAGATGATGGAGTCGGAGAATGAGAGGAACCTGACCAACGAGGACCTGATCAAGGTGTTAGACTGGGTCCCCAAACTCTGGTATCACCTGCACGCCTTCCTGGAGAAGCACAGCACATCAGACTTCCTCATTGGTATGAAGCTTCAGGGTCTGGACAGAGTCGCTTATTTTAAGGGATACAGAGAACTGTATATCTGTGACGGGTAAGTTTCTCTGTGTCCTCACTTCACCTTTGCCCCCCCCCCTTGTGTCCTCAGGTCCGTGTTTTTTCCTGTCATGTCCGGTCACAGTGGATGAGTTTCGATCGTGGTTTATTGATCTTTGGAACCACTCTATTATCCCGTACCTGCAGGAGGGGGCCAAGGACGGCATCAAGGTGAGTAACTACAGGTGGCAAATCCAGAAAACTGTCCCCAGGTCGCATCAGACTCTCCTCAGGGAGAGCTGCTGGCTTCCCTTTCACAGGAAATGTTGCGCTCTAATTTTACTGTTGTGACATCCAAGGTGCACGGCCAGAAGGCGGTGTGGGAGGACCCAGTAGAGTGGGTGAGGGGCACTCTGCCTTGGCCCTCTGCCCAGCAGGACCAGGCAAAGCTGTTCCACCTTCCTCCCCCCAGCATCGGCTCCAGCAGCCCCGGTCAACCCTGCGAGGAGAGGCCTCACAAGGAGACCCCGCCCAGCTCCATGGAATCTGATCCGCTGGTAAGAATCTCAGGCGTTCGCTGATAATCTTTAAGAGTCTCGTCAAAACTCAACTGGATCCTTGAGGGTTTCTGATTTCTGCACTCTTCTCTTCTCTGTTGTAGATGGCAATGCTTTTGAAACTTCAAGAGGCTGCCAATTACATTGAATCCCCAGACAAAGAAGATCCTAGTCTGCCCAAACTTTGAACACAAAGCTCAAAATCAAACACTCAGCACTTCAGATCTCACCTATCTGTACGCTGCACGGACACAGTGCACATTCAGGAGCATACGAACCCGCAGAAATGGTTGTCGATTTAAACTCTCATTTCCACGCTAGGTTAACAGTGAAGCTGGGTTATTACGGATCCTTTTAATAAGTGCAGTATTTTCAAAAACTGTTCGAGCATTGAATGAAAACTTATATATTCTATTACTTCATTATATATTTAACCCTTTATTAGCCCTCAGTCGTCTCAGATCGGTGCTAATAGATCACCATCATCATCTCAGCACTTAAACTTCAGGTGATTTCTGCAGCAGCACACACCATTCATCCAAGTGCATCATGGGATATGGTGTTCCTGTCAACAAGCGCTGTTCTTATTTAACAGTAATTCATTCAGAAGAAAAAGAGTATGACAGCAGGCCAGGAGCTCCTGTTTATTGCAAAGTGCTCTGGTACATATCTAGTGTTAAAGTCTCTGAAGGTCAAACTTTACATATATATATATGCAATCCTGAACTTCACAGTCTAAGCAGGTGAAACAGATAAAATGCCTTAAAGATAACAGACATCAGCGTCGGCTCAACTTCAGCAGAGTAAACTGGTGCTTTCATCGATATCATCCCGGCTGAGACCCTCAGAAAACAGTGATCTCCTCAACTCTACGATTTATTTATTTCAAATTATCATTTTTATTTTTACGGAAAAAAATACATACTCAACAATGTTGGGGTTCATTTTCAGTATACAGGTATTTTAACATCTACTTTTCCGGTTTCTAAGTTTGGAAATTAAACTTGCTGTCATACTCTTTTACATACAGAATATTATTTATTTGCGATGTGAGTCCATGGGATTGTCGTACCATTTTTTTCCAAACCACCTAATTTAGTTATTATTTAATTGCTTTATGTTTAAACAAGTCGTCACCAATGTTGCCATATATATCAGGTATTAGATACTTATACACAGGGATAATACATATACATGACATAACAAACACCCGATCGAGAAAATGCAATTTGAATCCGATTCAGATTTCTTCTATACAGAAAGAGTATTGTGTGTTTGATTCAAATCTTTCCCCTCATGTTCAGAGTAGTAACTGTATATAAAATGTACATACAATCAGACATCACAGTTATTTTATCTACCATTAGTTGGCGCAAATATCTAATATACTGAACCAAATACTGTACTTTAATCATGCATATTGATTGTCGAGATAAGGGTTTAAGTTTAACTACAGAATCAGTGTTAATTCTCCAGTAGGTGCTTTTAAAGGAAGCCTTAATACAAAGCTCCGCTGCAAAACGATGGCTGAGTGACTTTTTACGCCCATTTCACGTGCAAGAGTTCACACACTCGTCACTCATGCTTCTATCATCATTTAGGTGCGCATGGTGCTCTTAAACAATGTCCCAGACTGTTTTCATGTCAGATTAAGGTTATGTAGACTTTCAGGGTAGCTTAGCAAAGAGTTTTTGTGTCTTAGATCAGTGAAACACTAGTGAAGTTGATCTGGACCTTGATTTCTGATCATTTTTCTAAGGTGACTAAGTGTTGAAGACATTACGTAGATGCCGTGAAGTCGTGTGACACATTGTGTGGTGTGTACACCCATGTTGATGTCATGCATATTCTACAACGTTCTGGGAGCGCAGCACAGAAACATAGAAATAAAAAAAGTTAAAAGAGTTTAAAAGAGGAAGATTTAAACACTCTGTAGATTTTTGTAAAGAATCTGGTGAATGACAGATAAAACATATTGTTGTGGCGTCGAAATGGTTCATCTGTTCATCACAAACTACACATCAACCCTGTAAATGAATGTCAGACCACTTCTATGACAGCTCGATGAGAAAGTTTTAAACTCAGCTGCAGATCGCTTTTTGTTTTTTTTAAAATGCACAGTTACAATAAAGCTGAAAACTTCACGCTAATCTGCAGCTCTGATTTGCTGCCAAATGAATGAAATGCATTACAGAAGAAAAAGATGCCGGTGAGTCTCTCCTCGGCCATGATGCCGTTTTAGAATCATTTCCGTTAATGTAAATATTCCAGGTCTCAGACAGCATCACCCGCCACGATCTGTTTTCCGCAGGTCAACAAAAGCCATCATCCGCCTGTGCTTCTCATCTCATTCACTGGTTGTTGTGCCTGTTGCTTTGTAGCGGTGTAGCTGTGATTTGTGTTTGCTTACTAGTGCATCGGGACTATGCAGCAACTTCTACTGGTGTTGGCGGTCTGAGCTTGACGAGCAAAAAAAAACGCGGCGTGTTTCCATCCGGTCTGTCTTCGGGTTCTTGGTTTGGACCAAAGTGCACCATGGGATAGAAGTGGGGAGCGTAATAACGAGCCTTAAAAAAAGGGAGGAGGGTCAAAGAATCAGCTGTTTGGAAGCTGTTTTGATGTGTTTCGTCTTTATGAATGGCAACAAAATTCATGCAACTGGTCAAATGACGTTAAAGAAATCTAGAAAAATCAAACAATGAGCCTGACGTAGTTGCTCTGCTCTTCACAGTTTTCAAGTAGAACCTGATAATGAGATTAAACAAGTATCTTAGGCCAATACAGGTTGCTGAATAGTCATATTTTTGCAAAGCTTGTTGTGGACTAAACTATGATTCAAAAAAAGATGTTATGCGGTATCTAATGTCACTGACGTACAAATGTTAGGGGTTTCTAAGTGTTGTAAATGCATGTAAACCTGCTGTGTGATGAGGAAACATATGTTAGAATTGACGTATTGTTTAGGAAAATCACTCTAGATGATGTTTTCCTTTTTAATACTCAGATATTTGATATTTCTTTTTTTTCTAAAGAATCCTTTGTAAAACTTAATTTCTCTATTTTGTACAGGGCATCATTGTAAAGATTGTAAATAGGCCAGCGTTCTGGATGCGGCAACAATCATTGAGGAGGAGAAAAAGAATATCACTGACAGAAAGGTTTATTTCTTCAGAGTTGGGTCCAATACATGGATAAGGCGTGTTTGTCTGAAGACTTTCATCCACCTATCACTGTTTGTTGGAATCAATAAAATTCATGTTATATTTATTCTGCGGCTTCTTGTGTGTCGGTTTGAAAATGTTGACGCTGATATTTAAAACACTCGAGTTCACAGCAGCATATAAACAAATATAAATATTTAAAATGACATAATAACAAATAAAAGCATTTTTTAAAGTCAGTAACTCACACTTGTTTAATATATTTATTTGTAGAAATACACTATATGTTTGTATATATACATTAGGCTATATAGATCTGTCTATACATATCTATATAATATTCACAATATATATTGTATAATACATATATATATTGTAATGATGTATATTTTGCTCATTTTTTACATATATATATGTATTGATGAGTGAGAGTGAATGTGTGTGTGTGTGTGTAATGTTTTTTGTATCACAGTTACTAGTATTGCATTATTGTGGGTAACCACAAACCAGAATCGAACCCTGGCCGCTGCAGAGGCGTAGAGCCTCATTATGAGGCTGCAGCTCTATACCAGCTTTGTTTAATGTTCAAAGCTAATATAGCGCTTAATGCTAACTTAAAGGTACAGTGTGTAGAATTTAGTGACATCGAGTGTTGAAGTTGCATGTTGCAGCTGAACACCCCTCACCTCACCCTCTCCTTCCAAACATGAAAAACAACCTGTGGTAGAGTTTAAATGTCATAAATCTCAGAAGGTGTTTAGTTTGTTCAGTCTGGACTAATGTAAAAAACATGGCGGCCTCCGTAGAGAGGGTCCCCTCGATGTAAATATAAAGTATTTAAATATAAAGAGCCTTTTCTGGGGTAAAGAAAACTATAATTCATACAATTTAGATGAAACGAACCAGTGAAAACATCATGAGGATTATTCTACATTAAATTTCTGCCAATAGATCCCTTTCACCTGAATTTTACACACTGGACCTTTAAATGAAAAAAGGCCTGTAATAATATCAGAAAATATTTATCACATTTTTAAAAGTCCAGGAATATTTGATCACCATTAACATAAAAGCAGAAATAAAAAAAAAAGAAAATCATTGTATTACAAATAGACACATATTGTCACATCTATATTTAATGACACCATGAAGTGAGGGTACAGAAGAAGTTAATGATGCACTGAGAGTTGATGAGTGGGAGGAACACACTGAGTCCTACATGGTGTCCTGTGTTCAGAGGACTATCTATTACATGTGCTGCAGCAGGGGCGGTGCTTGAACCGGCCCAGCTCTATAAAAGCGTCCCCCCCCTGCACACACGGTGGCATTGGACTCACTTTTACGGACTTAACGTAGTGGGGAATTAGCTGCAACCTTCATCATGCCGTCAAAGCCTGCCCCCATCAAGAAGGCGGCTAAGAAAGAACCAGCCAAGAAGGAGGAGGAGAAGGCCCCAGAGCCAGCGCCCGCACCGGAGCCCGCGCCCGCCGAGGCAGCCCCAGCCCCTGCTGAGGGCGAGGCCGCACCTGCCGAGGAGGCCCCCGCCGCCCCTCCAGCTGAGGAGCCCAAACCCCCCACCCCTCCACCCGCTGATGGTAAATGAACCAGAGCGAACATGTCTTCCACGCGTATAAACCACATCCACCTTGAAGCTTTGGTTTAGTCTTTAATTAACGCTGGATACGTAGTTTGACGTCTGAGCCTGAGTTGTTGGTTCAGCTCACGGTAAGCACGGTGTCAGGTTATCCATTACGCACACGCGCTCGTGCGTAAAGGCGGTAAGTGCTGTAGCCACAGCCATCGTTATAAAACACAACATAATGCAAAGACAGAGCTGCATGTTCCTGCATTTTCCGCCAGCCTGGACTCTTCAGACTGCATCAAAAGTGGAAGTAACTCAGTCACTGATGCGCTTTTACGCTTCAAGGACGCACAGCCTTCCACAACTGTGCCGTGAAGTCTGTGCGCCCTGCTCCGTCAGTGATAAAACCTCACAAGTCAAAATTAACAAGCCTGAATTCACAAACGAGCAGTGAAACACTTGTTGTGCTCATGTTCCAAACTGATGTGTGACAACAACTGTTTCACGACAAAACAACCCTCTCCGCTGTTTAACGCTGCTTCTAACATTTCAGTGCACATTGAATCTTTAATGTGTCAAACATCTAACATTTACATCAGCTGCTCCAACTGAAGAGGCTGCTGCTCCTGTGGCTGCAGATGAACCCGCCTCAGATGGTATGTCCAGACCCTCAGAGTCTCCCTCCTCACCCTGACTCGCAGATTTCTAATTCAAAAATTAAGATTTAAAATTAATTTCCAAATTTACTCTTTTTCTTTTGATTCAATTTCTCTTTTAGAGCATCTTGAAATGTCATTTGAACATTTTAAACATGTCATATTTTTTACTAACATCTTCTAACCTCTTACATCAGCTGCTGCTCCTGTTGCTGCAGATGAACCCGCCTCAGATGGTATGTTAAGACCCTCAGAGGGTCTCTCCCTCTTCGCCCCTCCCTGACTCACATATTTCAAATTTTGAAATATAATTTTTTTATTGAAATGTTAAAATTGCCAATTATACTTTATCTGAAAGATATTTAACCCCCTTTCATAACAACTTGAAATGTCATTTAAACCCTTTCAACATAAATGTGTGCTGACGTCTCCTAACCTCTTATATCAGCTGTTACCCCCCACAGAAGGTACAACATGACCCTCACAGGGCGTCTTAACCCCTGACTCGCATTTCTGCCAATTTTAACTTCTTCTCTCCATTTTTAACATTTAATCCCTTTTATAGCTTTTTTTGAAAATGATATCAAAACCTTTTCAACATGTTACTGTATATCTACTGACATTATCTAACTTCTAACACCAGCTGCTGCTCCTGTCGTCGATGGTATGATGTGACCCTCAGAACTCAATCATTCTGCTCATTCTGATTATTTAAACAGATTTAATTCTATTTATAACATTTTGAAGATGTAATCAAAGCTGTTTCAAAATGTTTTATATCTACTGACATCTTCTAACCTCTTATATCAGCTGCTGCTCCTGCGGCTGCAGAGGAACCTGTCGTAGATGGTATGATGTGACCCTAAGAGGGTCTATCTCTCTCTCTCTCTCTTTCTCTTCACCCCCTGACTCAACCATTCTGTTAAAATTCAATTAGTTAAACAGATTAAATTCTTCTCATAACGTTTTGAAATAACATTAAAACCCTTTTAACATGTTACTGTATATCTACTGACATTCTCTAACGTCTAACACCAGCTGCTGCTCCTGCTGCTGCAGAGGAACCTGCCGTCGATGGTACGATGTGACCCTCAGAGTCTCTCTCTCTCTCTCTCTCTCTCTCTCTCTCTCTCTCNTCTCTCTCTCTCTCTCTCTCTCTCTCTCTCTCTCTCTCTCTCTCTCTCTCTCTCTCTCTCTCTCTCACACTTCTCCCTGACTCACATATTTCCCATTTGAAATTTAAAAAATGGCCAATTTTACCCTTTTCTGTGTAATTAAACAGATTCAACTCCCCTTTAGAACAATTTGAAATCTAAATCAAATCCTTTCAAAATGTTTTATATCTACTGACATTCTCTAACTTCTAACACCAGCTGCTGCTCCTGCTGCTGCAGAGGAACCCGCGGCCGATGGTACGATGTGACCCTCAGAGTCTCTCTCTCTCTCTCGCTCCTCACTCCTCCATAACTTACCCCAGTTTTACAATTGAAGTTTTGAAATTGCAAATTTGAACTGAACATAACTTCACATATTTAATCGCTTTTTATAACATTTTGAAATGTCTGTAAACCTTTTCAAAATGTTATATATCTACTGACATCTTCTAACCTCTTATATCAGCTTCTGCACCTGCTGCAGAGATTCCACCAGCTGCCACAGACGCCGCTGAGGCTCCCGCTGATGGTAAAAAAGAAGATCACATGAGCCACAACAGATCTTACACTTTAGAATATTACTAATGTTTGACCCTTCAAACTCTAAGTGCAAATCGAACAACATGTACGGATTCCTTTCTCACACATTGGACTCAGTCACACACACTGTCACATTTTTCAACATGTCTTATCTGCTTAATGCACAAATGATTCATATCTAACATTTAATAACAGCTGCTGCCGCTCCAGCCGCAGACGAAGCTGCTCCTGCTGCTGAGGCTCCTGCTGATGGTAAACTTAACTCCGAACGGTTCCTACTCTGTGTTCTCTCAGTGCCTCCGGATTCTGGTTCTGCATTTTCACATGAATTAGATTAAAATCCTCTGAGTGATAAGATAAATCCTTGAAGCTGTAAAACATAAATGCTGTTGCTTAGCTTTGCTCATCACATGTTGCCAATAATAACAATAATGCAAATGCTTGTTTAACATTAGCTGAAGCTGCTGAGGCGCCTGCACCAGAGGAGCCTAAAGCCCCCACCCCTCCTCCTCCTCCACCCAAAGGTAACGCTCCATTCAGAGGAGGAACTCCATCACCGTGTGATTTTCCCTTCATCGTTTCTCCCCCCATTTTTTTTATTCCAGTGTTAAGATAAAGAACTGCACCATCACCTCTTCTCGGTTCCTGCTCTGAATTGATTTCTGATTGTTTTAAGACATTTCTGCCACAGCAGAATAATTGTGTGTTTCCACGGTTTCCTGCAGAGCCCACCAGCGCTCCCGTTGAACTGTTCATTGAGGACAAGAATGACACGTCTGTCACCATCATCTGGAGCCAGCCGGAGAACATCGGGCTGTCTGGTCTGGATGGATACACCATTGAAATCTGCAAGGAAGGAAGTAAGTCAAACTGTTGACCAGGTGCACCGAGCACTCAAAGTTGATCCTTTGACTTTTATTTTAAAGCTTTTTTTTCAAAAGCTGATTGTAGGTTTTTACATTATATCATTATACAGTATGAATGCTTGGCACCTTGGTATTTTAAATATACTCTGGAACCTGTTAAATTGCTGGTTTAATGTGGGTCAGCTGTATCGGTTGCAGCTGTCCCTGAAGTGTCACTGGCAGAGTTATATCCTGAGCTACCAAACTTCTCCCTACAAGGAGAGAGGCGTTTCAGGAGCTGCTGTGGTCTCACTGGAGGTCCTGCTTTTAGACCAGCCCTATGCTAATATCAGCAGCAGTTCAGTGACGGCTGGATTTAGCAGACGGGGGAATGTTTCAACAAACCCACAGAACAGCAATTTCATGCCTAGTGCAAGGAAATTGCTTTATTTCATTACTAGTACAATGTATAATCACTTACAAGTCTCTTCATTTTTTCATTCTCAATCCCTGATCTGCACGAATCAGAATCTTTGCCTGCTCATTCTGCACAATTAAATCAATAAAGAGATAAACTCCAGCTTTGCAAAGTTCACTGTATCAACTTTATCCCATTCAGCCGAGGACTGGAAAGCTGTCAACGAGGACTTGCAGAAGTCCTGCCGCTACGTCATCAAGAACCAGACCACTGGTGACCGCCTGAAGATCCGCGTGGTGGCCGTGAACGCCGGGGGCCGCAGCCCCCCCGTCACCCTCCCCGAGGCCGTCCTGGTGAAGGAGATTGCTGGTAAGAAATGATTCAGGGATGCATTTCAACATGTAGAGAAAATTAGATATTCGTGCTATTTGTTATTTAACCACTTACTTTCAGAGAAGATTCTCAAAAATGTCTGTTTAGATTAATTTTGTTGGTCCCACACAATGAAAGCAGCAGCAACATTAGAGATACGAGCAGATGCATCACAAACATAATGAGCATTAACAACATAAGACACAGTAAAGACAGGAAAAAGGTCAGTGACAATATGAATGGAAAAATCTAGGGAGTATCAAGTCTACTATGTTAAATATGTGCACAACTACAACATCAACATGCCTTTCTTCATTATTTACATCATGAAGCACTGAAATACAAAAACAGTGTGTACTGAGACACATACGTGAGAGAGACCACAGGTAGAGGAGGAAAACAAAACTCATAACAAACTGAGGCTCTGAGTGTTGTAATGTGATGATGAGCAGTTTAATCCAGCTGTAAAATAAAAGTAAAACAACAACACAACAAATAAGAGACACACCGTTAGACTGAGGCCTAGTTTAAACGTTACGGAGCCGTTTATCGCTGGAAATCTGGTTGTAAAGTGCAGGAGTCAAACGGGAACATCTCCGCTATGCTTTCCTCTCAGCTGTCTGTGTCCTGTTGGCACATACCTGCCGTGTTAACGGCATAAAACTGTGGTCTTCTCTCTCGTTTCCACTTTGAGCTGGAGCCCCGATCCACCCGGGGGGGGGGGGCAGTGTAATAACTCTGCACTTGTTAAGTAGACGGTTTACTTGGGTTCGGCCTTGCAATGTTAATCGTGGACATCATCTGAAGTGATTTGTGGTAAATTGAAGATTGGACCCCAAGGACTTTAAAAGGAGGGAGCTGCATTACTTTGGCAAATATCGTGGTTATGCATAACAGAGAGTCGGGGGGGGGAACTCGATCTCCTGCTGTACTGGAAACACTTCAACAGTCAGGTTCATGTTCCAGCTGCAATGTTCACCATCGTCCACATATAGACTTATGAATGGTTTCCAGCAAAATTACTACGAAGATGTGGAAAAATATGCGGGATGACCCTGCTATTAGCACCGGTTTTTCTGCTGAGGCGTTTGGCTTTGTGATCCCTGCCAGGATACATGTTGAGAAGGGGGGTGGGGGAGGGCGGGGGTGTCAGAATCCTGTCCCACAAGTTAGATGGTGGCGAGCAGGTGGGGGGAGTGGAGGGGGTGGATGGTGAATTCCAGTGCATCCTGTCCCTGAGGGGGGGGGGTGTTAGAGGGTCACGTTGGGGGTTGGTGGGTTTGGATCCAACATCTCAGGTGACACTGGATCTAATGACACTTCCAGAGGTTCCCTGTTTATTTTGAAACATGCCACAGACTTTACAGGTGCAGTTTCCTCAGAGACTGATCCACAGTCTGTGCTGGATGTACTGTCATGTAGAGTTGCACTTAACTTTCATACAATTTCTTCTTTCTTTCTTTCTTTTTTAAGGGAAAATAGCAGCAAAGTCTTTTTTATTTACGAATCAGAATCAGAATTCAGGTTTTATTTACAAATACAAGGAATTTGCTGTGGTGTGTTATTGTTAGCATAAAAATAAAAATGTTAAACAACAGAAAGCCCCTGATGACACCAGTGAAAGTTCCCTGATTCAGACAAACGTCTGATCTGAAATCCTTCAGTTTCACTCCACAGATCTTTGAACAGAAGCTAAAGATCCTCTTCAGGCTTCGTGTACAGATGAGAAGTGGAAGCAGAAGATAAAAGAACTTGGAAAAGACTCATTAAATGCTGATTAACTAACTGATTCTTTCACTCTGTGTTTCTCTCTCTAGATCGTCCCAAGGTTCGTCTGCCTCGTTTCCTCAGGCAGAGATACGTCGCCAACGTTGGAGACAAGATCAACCTGACCATCCCCTTCACAGTAAGCAGAAGACGACTGCATCTCCTTGTTCATGCTTGATTAACAAAACCACTCGCCTCCTTAAAACACACATGTCCGCCCCCTCCCCTCAAGGGTAAACCCAAACCTGTGGTCACCTGGACAAAGGACGGTAAGCCCCTGGACGCCAAGAGGGTGAACATCCGCAGCAGCGATAGAGACAGCATCCTGTTCATCCGTACGTCCGAGAGAGACGACTCCGGCGTGTACGAGATGTGCGTGAAGGTGGACGACTTCGAGGACAAGGCGTCGCTCATCCTTCAGATTGTCGGTGAGGAAAATGTTTCACGTATCACGAGATCATATCCATCTAAACTGCAAGGTTTGATACGAGGATCTGTGCTTTGTCCGCAGAGCTGCCGGGACCTCCTGCCACCATGAAGATTGTTGATACCTGGGGCTTCAACGTGGCTCTGGAGTGGACTCCACCAGTCGACAGTGGAAACACAGACATTAAAGGTTACACGGTGCAGAAAGCCGACAAGAAGACTGGAGTAAGACCTGTTCTGTTGTAATGTCCCGATGAATCACACACTTTAAATCCTCTGCACTTTAATCATCATGTCCTCACTGTGTGTGTGTGTGTGTGTGTGTGTGTGTGTGTGTGTGTGTGTGTGTGTGTGTGTGTGTGTGTGTGTGTGTGTGTGTGTGTGTGTGNGTGTGTGTGTGTGTGTGTGTGTCACAGGACTGGTTCACTGTGCTGGAACATTACCACAGACTGAATGCCACCATCTCTGACCTCATCATGGGCAACACCTACAAGTTCAGAGTGTTTGCAGAAAACAAGTGTGGACTGAGTGAGACCGCTGCCGTGACAAAGGGGGAGGCCAAGATCCTGAAGACAGGTACGTCTCTCCGTCACCGCTCCTCAGGTAACACATCAGGGCGTCATCCAGTCCTTCATTCAGTCAGCAATAATGTACGGAAGCCCCACCTGAAGCGTTTGTCTCATCAGTCCTTCTTTTTAACTGATTCTTATCCTAAACTAGACAGATGGAAATCCAAATTCTGAAATTCATCCTTGTCCTTCTGATGTATCGTCCTCAGCTCACTTTCAAAATACCACGAAACGCATTTTAAAGCTCTGAAAACTTAAACTGAGCACTTCAGCTCAGTTTATTCTGTCTCAGTTTGAATTTGACAAACCTTATTTGAAAATAATTAGATCATTTAGCTGTTTTCACTGACAGATATAATCCAATATAAAAAGTAAAGAAAAGTAAACAATAATGATAATCAGAGTTTCTGAGAACTGATGCACACACAATGTGCTTCAGTCTAAAACAAAGCACACTCGTGCACCGGGGCCCGACAGGTCCATGAATTATTACCTGAGGAAAATGGTGAAAAATCTCACAATGTTAAATAAAATGATAAAAAACTTCATTTCATGGAAATCCTTGGGTAGTTTTTGCATCATCCTGCTGTCACACAAACTGACGGGTGAAAACATGACTCTCTTGGTGAAGGAGATAACAATGTCCTCTGACAAACTAAATACCAGGTGACCTACCGCCCGTCAGCTGAGCCTTGTAGTAGCAGTTGTATGTTTCTGTTCTGCAGGTATCGACTACAAACCTCCCAATTACCAGGAACGTGACTTCACAGAAGCCCCGAAGTTCACCACCCCCCTGAGCGACAGAGCCACCACTGTCGGCTACAGCACCAAGCTGCTCTGCTCCGTCAGGGGAGAACCAAAGGTGCAGCGACGCTTCTCTTTTCATACCTGAACAATGTGACGCTAAATTAACAGTTCACACTAAATATCTTATAGTTACTCATGGTCTGACTTGCTTACAGTTACTTAAAGGTCCAGTGTGAAAGATTTAGGTGAAAGGGAACTGTTGGCAGAAATTTAATGTAGAATAATCCTCATGATGTTTTCACTAGTTCATCTCATCTAAATTGTATGAATTGTAATTTTCTTTACCCCAGAAAAGACCCTTTATATTCAAATACTTTATATTTACATCAAGGGGACCCTCTCTGCGGAGGCCGCCATGTTTTTTACATTAGTCCAGACTGGACAAACTAAACACCTTTTGAGTTTTTATGACAACTAAAGTTCACCACAGGTTCTTTTTCATGTTTGGAAGGAGAGGGTGAGGTGAGGGGTGTTCAGCTGCAACATGACACTTCAACACTAGATATCACAAAATTCTACACACTGTACCTTTAAATTCAGTGTGTTTCAACTAACAAATCCAAACCGTGTCACAACTGACACAACAATAGTATAAATATTTGAATTAGAGAAGTTTAATATAATGATATAAATAAGTCTTTTCAAATTGATTTGCATGCGTTTTGCAAACCAATGGCTCCCTGAAAAGCTGAAGTAGAGGAGAATAGAATATGTTATCAAACATGTTATCATTGTTCATCATTGTACAAGGCAAAGCATTTCAATAATATTAGAAAAAACAAGTTTAAAATCTGACAAAAGACACAAAACAATAAATACCAGACTAATAAATGCAGTTTTGAAAAGTAGTCAAATCTTAAAGGTTCTGTAACTAATGAAATCTAACAAACCAGCTTCCGTTGACGTGTTCAAACTGTTTAAGTGCTTCACTGTTGGCAGGATCAACAGTAACACCAGTGGTGCCAACAAGCCAATCCTCACTCTCACCTCTTGTCAGCAGCTTAGTGATGGTAATAAGGTTGAGCCTGGACTTATGAAGAGCTTTTAACAACTACTCTCCTCCATCACTGTCAGTGTGATCTTCATCTGACCCTGCGGTCCTCATGTCTGAGCCTCTGGCCTCCTCATCATCCTCATAATCCCACCAGGTCCTCAACAGGACAGTGGGATAGATAGATGGGTGGCTGTGATTAGAAGGCCAGAGTTGGTATTCTGGTCTTTTGAAGCAGGGATGGGAGGAGAGGAGGCCGTGAGGGTCAGCAGATAAGGAGGGTCACATGTCTGACATTCCCCTGGGGGCCCCAGGGGATCCTCACCATGTCAGGGCCATTAAATCTCCCACAGTGAGGCGTACGCTGCGTGTCCTCTTCACCAAGTGGACATAAATAGAAACAATGCTTGTTTATTTATTAAATGCTTTCATATAATTGCTGAAATAAATGTTTTTCTACAGCCCAAGGTTCAATGGATGAAGAACCAGATGATTATTGGAGACGACCCCAAGTTCAGGCAGATCTGCGTCCAGGGTATCTGCTCTCTGGAGATCCGCAAGCCTGGTAACTTTGACGGTGGCGTGTACACCTGCAAAGCCATGAACAAACACGGAGAAGCAACTGTCTGCTGCAAGCTGGAGGTCAAACGTAAGTCAAGACCTTTAAAATCCATACCTACGTCTATTTATGGCTGTGAACATGAGGTTTTTCTTGGTGTCTGAAAACAAATAACTTTTCTGTTAAACAGAGGCGGCGGTTCCGGATGCAGCCAAGAAATAGGTCAACGTTCTCATCATTACAGGTCAGAAATCATTTAGATCATATTTTATCACTATATTTACAAAATAAACCAATAAAAACTGCATCGATGAATCTATAAACCAATCAACCAGTTAATGCATCCACCTTATAAACCTTAATTAACCTTAAAAACATAAAGTTCAATGCTGAGAAGGTACGTCATAAAAGTTTGCATTGCGTTGGTCGGTCTAAATGAGTCCTGAGGTGACATGTGCCGTGTGACTTACTTTCCATACATGGACGGCACTAAACTGGGAAATGTTGGCCTCTGCCTCTGAAAGGGTGCAGGAGGTAACACCCATAAATTACATCTCTGATGGCTCCTCGTGAACTTGGGTCGGAGACTTATTCACATTTCCTCGACTCAGCAGCAGCAACAACCTCCTTTAAGCATTTCATCTGCAGGTTACTCTCTGAGAGAAAACCTCAGAGGTTTAGTCTGTGAAATGTTGCCGGGTTCTGTAAAAATCGAAAAAAGATTATTTCATGTATCATGTTTGCGTTTGCCTAGTTTCAGCTATCTGCTCTCATGTGATTCTGAACTGCTGCCACTTAAGCGACTGCACCTCTGACTGTTTGTAACACCTGTTGCTGTTATTTGTGCATCTGTTGCAATCCCAAATTAGGAGCAGAAGGAATGAGGCCTTTGCAGCATAAGGTGCGTGACACTTTTAGCTTTTCTAAAACCGTCTTCCTCGACGGCGATGAATAAAAGAGCCAATGATTTTCCTTATCTCTCACAGGAAGGTGCTGGATTCCTGGCAGAACATGTATATATGGCTGGTGACCACTCTACACGAGGGTTGTTGCCTGTGACCTCTGACAAGTGTCGCCCGATGTTGTGATAAACGTTTGTTGTCGCTTTGTGCCTTTTCACTACATTATCAAGTCCACATCCATGTCCACTATCAGCTTTTTCCCCAACGATTCTGTCTTTGGTCAAACCTCCCTGGTTTTTCACTCCGTCAGTGTGACCAGGGATACAGAAATATCACAGCATGAATTCACTGTTCCTCATTGGAGATCTACATGTAACATCGACGTGTTTATATCAATAAATAATTTAATTTCTGGTTTGTTTCTGTTTTTTTCAACACGGTGTCTTCAATACATTGAAAGCTTAAATCATTATTGTCAATAATTTAATCCATAAGGAAGAGACAGTTAGTCCGCTTGAGTTTATACAGATTTAGTATTTAGTAGTTCTGGTTTGATTTAACATATTTTAGGAGGTATATCGAAGAAGGTGACAGAAAAAGCATTTCAGTCTTTATTTTACACGTTTGTAATTTGTGGTTTATTTCCTAAAAGTTTCTAATATTTCTTGACAAAATGTAAAAAAATCAATTTTTTAATCAGAGAGCACCTTTTCAGAACCCTTTAAAGCCAAATAAAAGATTAAAAAGAGTAAAAACAAAAGTGGTCAAAGAAATAAAAAGGAGAAATCTAATAATAGATCATTTGAAGGAGTAAAATAATCCGTATAAAATAGTTGGAAATTTGTAAAATAATAAAATACAGTGATTGAATGACCTTAGATTCCGTAAAATAGTTCGGTTAAAGGAACGACAAAGAACTTTTCAGAATAGAATTACCAAGAATTAAAAAATTAAGAAACACGACTTGTTTCAGAAATTAATTTTCTACAGAAGCTTCTGTATCTGCAGATTGATGTAATTATCTTCCACCACAGTTTGACTCTGCGGCTGAATACAGAAGCCCCTCTTGGCAGCGAGAACCTGGTTGACAGCAGCACAATTCATTTGGCTCGAAAGGACCCAGGAGTATACAGCAGTATGCCAGCACTTCCATAATAATAATACCAGTCTATAATACTGATCTTGTAGCTATCTGGTCCCGGAGTTCATGGCATAGTGTTAAGGGGCCGGATGCCAGAGCGATCCAGGTTACACAGACACAGGGGTTCACATGGAGGCTGATAAAATTAGCTGCGGCGCTCCAACGTACCCGGGTTATTTTAGGAAGTGGTAAAATGTGCTTTAACTTTACCTTAAAAAACGGAATCGGGGGAAATTGAAATCATAAATGAAATGGAGAAACATTTTTATGAGAAGGGAGACAGTGTTAATATTGAAATTTAATTGAAAATCTACATTTACGTGACCCTGAAGTGTGTTTAGTATGAGAAGAGAAGACAGCGATAGTTTTAATGTGTAGAAGTATCAAGGTTTAATGTCGACTGAGTGATTCAACTCTGCAGTTAATGAGGAAGAAAAAGTCATTATGCGTCTCCTTCAGTGTGGCTCCCTCTACTGTTGCAATCAAGCAGCAACATCTGCAGGCTCTAAAGAGGGAGAGAATTAAGAGTCATGTCGCACGTCAACAACATTCAGACGCTGCTGCTTTAAAAATCCAAAACACGAGGACGTTCACTTCAGAGATCAACGGCACAGCCACCTGTCCATTTGATTTACAATGTTTTAAATGGATGAACTGTTCCCCACGCTCTGTGTCGTTTGGAGCTGCACAGTGCAGCTTTAACCCTCGGGCTCGGAGCCATACTGGGTCTCAGGCCTACTTCTGCTGGGTCCCTGGATGCTGACACGCTGCATCAAGGTCACAGAGCGAGAGACTTCCTGTCTAATTTAGGTCCTGCTCCGAAAAAGGTTTCAAACCTCCAATGAAAACCACAAAATCCCGTTCACACAGAAAGTAACAGCTCTTTAGTTTATCAACGTACAGAATCAAATATTGAAATTAGGTTTGAATCCTTTAATTCAGTTTGATGTTGGTGTGGAGTCTGTGTTTATATGATTAGTTGTTCTTCTTCACACGGTTGTAATCGTCCGTCATCTTTCAGTGATTCCCCGACTTTTCTTAGAGCGCCCCCTGCAGATCAAACCTTTTACTTTGTCCTGTGAAACATCTGAACATCTGATCGGCTCCAAACTGTTCAGACGTTCATGTTTCCCAGAGGATGAAGCTGTAATGACTTTGGTGATCCCTGACTTCTCCTCTACTGCCACCGTCTGGCTGAAATATGTGGTTTTGAGTGAAAGGTCTCCGAGCTGGTGAGTCCGTTGGTTTGTATTAAATGTTTTGTGCAAATCTGGAAAAAGAATTTTGGATCTGGACAAAAAGGCAGATCCAGAAAATTTGATCCCTTTCTTTAACATTTAAAGATCGGGGGTGTCTTTTTTTAAAATACGTTTTGCAGATTTCATGGATTTGTATGATTTTTATAAATCAGGCGTGTTCAGGAGTCCTTCGTTCACTGATTGGTGCTGTTGGACTGGATTTAAGGGGCCATGGTGCAGGTGCTGTTCAGGTTTTCATGTCAACACACCACACTAAGATGGCGAACACGTTCTTCCTGCTCAGAGTATTGGTTCCCCTTCACGTTCAGCGTAACAGAGCTGCAGCCTTTAGCTGTGTTCTTTTGTTTTGTCTCTTCCATCTTCATTTTGTGTTTGAGGCTCATTAAACTCCGAGCTTCACCTTTATGAAACCATACAGCTGCTTCAGGCACATACTCCGCCTCTCTTCCCCATGAATGAATCACCCCGGTGTCTCTGTCCCATCTATTATGATTTATAGCTGTGAAGTCCAGAACAGGGCGATCATCACAAAATATCCTCTGGCTGAATAATTAGATCCTACCAAAAGTTTTCTCTCACCCTCCTCCTGCAAGGGAACAGTCGCAGATAAAACAGGATGGAAAGTTCATTTATAAAAAACCTCAGCGTGCTTTGGTGATGCAGCATCTCTGACTCATATGCTGGTGTTGCTTTAATCGTTGGTAATGCACTGAGTGCGATGTGGTCGCTGCTCCGTCAAGGGTAACGCCAAAGGTAATGAAATGGTGCGTCCTTCTTGAAGGGAGAATGGCTGCTGTGTGCTGCAGAGGTTTTGGCAACGCTCCCTGAAGGTTTAATAAGTGTAATGGTGGAACTGGCACTCACACCACTGCCTTGTTGTTGCTTTTTTATTAATGCAAATGTTGCACTGCTAAATCTGCTGGATAGATTCTCTGAATGCACATTTAAATTTGTTGCAAGTTACGGTGGAGATTCAGGCGTTTTCCCCGTGTTTTGTAACCATTCAGATGCTTTTCATTTTGTTCAATCCCACATCATTTACACATTCACCTTCAAACTAGGATTTTGTGTGTCTCGTGCTGCTCACTGTAGCTGAATGTGAGTCTCACAAACCAGCCCGACCTGTGTGTGGATTTCCCTGGAGGAGCCTGCAGCAGTGTGATGCAGCTCTGCTCAGCTGTCCACTGGAGGAAGTCAGGTCGTCCATTGATTCCAGAAAGAGATGTTGTTAAGTCAATTTAATTAGAATTGAGGGACTGAATTGTTGTGATGGAGGGAAATAAAAAACACAACAGACGTGTGTTAAATCTCTGATTACGTCCTCATTCTTCTGATGCATCATCTGACATGAAGGAAACATGAAGTGTGTACTCACTGAATCTTTTCTCTGCTACATTAAACACATTGCACATTGTACTACTACACACAGTGACTCCTTGACTTTTACACTTTATGGTTAATTAGGTGACTTTATAATCTGCGTGTCCCTGATGATGCAGGAGCAGTGATCTGTGTCGCTCCTGCAGCTCCTCTTTTAAATCATTCACCGCTCACACGTTGATGCACATTAACAGGAAAGAGAGGGACGGGCAATTTTTATGTTGCTACCGTTGACTCTGAAGAAAAACACCAATAACTTCCCATCTGCTTCCTGCCTGCTCCTCTACTGCAGCAAAACCAGCTCGAGCAGACCAGAAACAACCCTCCTCTCCTCTCCTCCTTCTCTCCTCTTCCTCGCCTCCTATCTTCTCTGGTCCTTGCACCTCACTGCACTCAGGTCCCTGCACAGCTCCTGCAGCAGACGAGAGGCACAGGGACCTAAAATCTAAAAATCTGTGAGAGCTACTGCAGCCTGCTTGTTACCATCTGTACCTCTCCTCTCACCACTCATCGATTCCCTCCTTTGCACTTCTCTCCATCCTCCCTCTCTCTTTTTCCTCCCTTTCCTTTCCTCCTGCGTCTCTTTCGCAAAGCTCAGCACTCCCTGCATGTGTGCCGGTGCTGGGGGTGAAAAACTGATGGAGCAAAGAAGAGGAGAGGAGGAGCAGTGTGGTTAGTGCGCCATAGAACCCCCCCTCCCCTTCTTCCTCTGCCCAATTGATGACAAGGAGGGTTTTTATTGAGCTGCTCCTCAGCCAATAAGGAAACAGTGCCGGGAAATACAGCAGTGGAAGTGCCCTGGCTCTGATGCTTGTGCTGATTTCAGTGTCAGAACAATGTTAATCTGTGTGAGTGTGTCTTGATTTCTCGTCTGTACCTGGTGTGAATTCACCTCAGCTGCAGCCTGAGCCCAGAGAAGTCTTGTGTGTGAGTGTCAGAGGAGGGGAGGGGGCTCACGGACAGGAACAGACCCCCCATGAAGGAGTTTTCTATATCTTTTGAGAGTGGGATCAACCAAAGTGCAGCTTGTTGAGATTTTCCTTTGCTCATTCCTCCTTTCAAGAGTCTCTCCAGCCCTGTTCTCTGCTTCCAGGGAGGCAGCACATCTCTGTCTGAGGTAAGATGCATCTTTTTTTTTTTTTTCTTCTCCTCTCTCCTGCCTCTCTTTTCTTAAACAGCTCCATCAGTAACTCAGGCGTTGCTGTGTGCCAGGTTGTCACAGAGGCACCTAGCCTCATTACACACATGCTGCTCTGCAGAAAGCTCTGCAGAGAGAGAGAGAGAGAGAGAGAGAGAGAGAGAACAATTGGCTCAGGGGTAATTAGAGCAGACGGTGTGTGAGCTTTCTGCCAGTCGCCTTCTAATTTTAATGCAGAGAGTGGAACTTTTACAGCATGCCGGTAAGTCCTCATGCTGCGTAGCATCATGTAGTGCTGCAGTATCATGTTACATAATAAAACAAACGTGTGTGTGTGTGTGTGTGTGTGTGTGAGGGTAGATCTTAAGATGGGAGTTTATTTCTCAGTAGAGCGATAAACCAACTAAAACTGTTTTCATTTGTTTATTATAGACGATAACACATTCAGATCTTACTTTTTTCTTTATTCTAACATTCTAACAACTAAATGTTTTCATGAACAAAAAAAGAGACATAGATGAAGAATAAGCTCCTGTATGTTGGCATGTTATCATTTTTCTCTCAGTCTTTCTTTACAGTTCTTTTGACAGCATGTAGAAGGAGGATGAGAGTCGGCTCACTGCTCCACAGTAAAAGCTCTGAGGGAGTGTGTTGCAAAGTAAAATGTGCTGAGCCAGCAGGAGTGAAGGGCCCACGTAAGAGCCTGCAGAGCGGGCTGCGCTCACATTCGTTGTGTTGTCTCATCAGCAGTCGCTGCATTAATACAATGATGTTGGTTCCTTCTCTCTCAATGCTTTGTTGGCAAATATTCCTTTAGTCCACTGTGATGGAAGATGTTTGCAGAAGGCTTTTATTAATGTGCATGGAAATTTGGCGCATTACGGCCTCTGATGGACACTGATTACCTGCAGCTGAAGCATCTATACTTTTTCTTGTCATGTTTAAAAAGCACGTCCTCCTCGTGTCCTCTCACAGGCGCCTCTTCTTTTTTTCGTATTGATGAAGAAATGTTATCACAGGTACCGATGTGGGTGTTGGTACTTTATGTTACCAGGCTGATTATAATGCGGTGGTGAGGAGAGATCAGGTGATGCAGTGGTTTCCTGTCCCTGGGGACGTTATGAGTACATGGCTGGGATACTCCTGAGTGTGTGCCTGTACGTGTGTGTGTGCGTGTGCATGTGTGCGTGCGCCAAAAGAGGGCTTCCTTTTGGATTCAGCAGAGGTGAAACAAGGCGTGTGTGTGTGTGTGTGTGTGTTGCTGCAATGTGTCTCACACACTCCTCTGTGCTGTAACGTGTGCACTTGCCTTGGTGCATTTTGTGCTGCAGTAGATGTTTTGCAGGTTAAATGTAAAATACCTTCAAATAGCAGATAGTACAGTAAATATAAAGTGAATGTGTGACCTAATGATGCGATACGAGTGCAGGGTTAGGTGCACTATAAATCAATATGCTCTTTAAATGTTAATTATTTAATCAATCACCTTTTTCATTAAGTGTTAAGTCTGGTACTGATGTGGCCAATCAAAAAAGACAAGGCAAGATATTAATCGCAAGAGTTCAAAGCAAAATCAAAAACTGCAAAGAGTCAGAAAATATCCTTTTGCATTTCCTGCTGAATTTGTGCACTCAGGCAGGATCACTGTTTTACTGCCTGTGCCTGGAGGCACAAAAATATGTGAGCACACATCTTTTAATCCTCGCTAACGGTCTGTCTGTGGAGATGTTGGTTTATTACTAGAGGCTGATATCCCCGTTGGCCTCAGTCTCACTTAGTATTCAACAAAATGGTGGCGAGCTTATCAGCTAAATTCAAAGTTCCTGGTAACATTACAGAACAATCTCTCTTTCTTTCAATCCCTTTTTTTTCTATTGTTGAACTGGGCGCTATTAGCCCACATGCTAACATCAGCATTTCCATTGTAGGCTACTTACCATCGACTGTAAATAAAGATGGATGACGTTTCTCCATTTCCGGTAATGGAGCAAAGTGACTGCATAAAAAATTGCACGCAGTCACTGGCATCTTGTGCCAGTGACGTCCTGCCAATACACACGCTCTACCAAACGTAGCCTCAGTCTCAGCTGTCAATCATGAAGTTTCACCCCATGTCATAAAAACCAACTAAAACCAAATTTACTAGAAAAACTTGAACATGCATCATTGTTGTAAGAACTAAGTTATATCACAGAAATCATCCCAGAGAAAATTTGATTTGACGTCTTCTGCTTTGACATTTTAATTTGGCCTGTGTCTCAACCATTAACATAGAGGAGGCTGGGTTTATGACCTGCACTGCTGCCAGCCACCAGGGGGCAATGGAGATGATTTGTCTTCACTTTTGGGGAGCTGTCCTGAGTATTAAGACCCTTTTATACCAAAAAACATGATCTTGTGCATTTTATCCATTTACAGTTAAATTTACAACATGATAAAATGGAAAAGACTTTCTGAAGCCAGTTGGGACTCTCGTGTTGTTTTATGATATTAGTCATTCTGTCAAATGTATTCGTGTCTTGTTGTCAGCAAACAACATCTCCACAGGAAAACAAATATATGTTTACTTGGTAACATCCTAAACCCTCCAGCGGTCCTTACTGGTCCATAGACATGTCCCTGATCATCCCAGTCTGTTCACTGGATCTACATTAATAATGTTTTTCTTGTTGTAGTCGGTTGTTGCAGTCATCAGGACGCATCGCTTCAGCCCTTTGAGTTTCCACCCCCCCGAGCTTCTCTGATGCTCGATGGCTCATGAAATGGGATTCTGCTACTGCAGCCTATAATCCTGTCCTGACTAAACTGAGATCCTCATTCACAGGCTGTCAGGTGCATCAGTGTACATGAAGCATGCTGCAGATGTTTTTCATTTATACTGTACACACGGTGTCTGGATCATTACTACTACAGTCGGTATATACGCAGTAAAGCCAGAACACAAAATGGGATTTGATGATGTTTTTGTGTTGAGAGATATTGTTGATGGCTGTGATGTTATACGACAGTGTGTAGACTTTTGATAGACGGTGCAAGTTGCTGAACCGGTTTTGCTAGTGCTGCAGTGCATTCTTCTACCCGTTGAACGCCATTAGCACAACACCTCTCCGCCCGAGGATACGATGGAATGGAATTGATTTGAGGCTCGACCTTCCTTGAAAAGAGAAGCGTATCAACCTCTGTCCCTCTTCATCTAAATAGCTTTCAGACTTGTGAAGAACACAATAAGCTAGTGTCTCAAAAAGCTGAGGAATGAGTGAAGAAGATGCAGCAGGCCACATCCACCAACAGAGGGAGAGAGGGGTGTAACAATGCACAAGATATACAGGTGAAAAAATAAAGTGTTGGAGCACAAGCAGATTTACTGGGACATCATCTGTTTGACTGGTTACTTTGGTTTTAATTAGTTATTTGATGCGATAGAAATGTGTTGAAACGTCATGATTGACAGCTGAGACTGACTTGTGATTCGTCGAGCATGTGTATTGATGGAACTTAGCTACCGCGGCTCCTCCCACTGATTGCTAACGATCAGACTCTGGCTCCAAAGGCTCAAGCTGGCAGCTTCTGTATCTAGAATAGTTTAGCTTCACTTCTGGATTGTGGGAGGAGGTGGAGACTCATCTTTATAAACAGTCTTTATAAAAAGCTCTGATAAATGTACAATCTAAAGTTTGCTTAAACTAGCTAGTGAAAAATTGAACTTTCGATCATATTGAGAATTAGATAAATGATTAATTAAATTTCCACAACGATAAAATCCAATATTATACGACATCTTACTTTTGTACATTGATTTGTCTTGAGCTTTATTTACTTAATGTTTCCTCGGTGGAGAAGATGCTCGTGTCTCTGGTGCCTGTTTCAGTCCAACCACTGCAGTCTCATACAGAGGATGATCAATACTCCTCAGCAGATCAATGCTGAGTGCTTCAGGGGCAGATTAATATTTTTAAGTACTATTTCCGCTAGAGAGTGAGTCTGTATGTGGAAAAAATTGTAAAGGTTGAAACTAAGGCAACAGTGTATTAAGAAAAATATCAATACTACAACAATGTCTGGAGTAATTTATAGAGCGATGTAAGTATATTGTAATTGCCAACAAATCTACTAAAATGAGTCAAAAGTAATAGTACTCATTAAAACGGTCTGTAGGTGATATATTCTTATTGTGTGTTTAGATAAATATAGCGAACCAAAATCTCTGGTATTTCCCAGTGAAGTGTAGTGGTTAGTGTATAAATAGTCAGAAAGAAAAGATAAAATAAGATAAATCAATATATAATAGATTAATTAATCCTGCTTCAAAGATACAATAACAATTTTATTGTACATGAAATTATAAAAGTAATATTGCACATCACTTTTTCTGTGATGTTATATACTGTATGTCTCTGTAAATTAAAGAGTTTATGTACAGTGCTCCCTACTGGTCATTCTGAGTCCTGCAGTCTGAGCTGGCTGAATTCAGAGGTTTGATAACCAGGAATTATAATAACATTAAAGTAAATTATCTCCATCTACTTGTGAAATAAACGCAGTGTTAAACGAAGTTTATCAAAATATACTGACACATCCAGCTCTTGTATTCATGCAAGTTAATGAGAAAATTACGATAACTACTTAATTAACAAAAGTCTTGGATTAAACCTGATGTGAAATGCGTCTAATTTCACAAGTGAAGAGGAGGAAATGTAGGAAGTCAGGACAGAAGGGTCAGATAATTACTGACTGAACTTCCGTCCCCTCTGGCTTTTCTTTACCCAGAACTACTCTGTCATGTTGCCCCAGATCTGTGTCGTTGGGCAACACATCCTCCATTAGTGGGGAGATGTATCCCCTCCCTCTTCTTTACCTCCCTCTCTGTCTCTAAATGTCGCTCTCTCTCTCTCTCCCTCCTGCTCTTCTGCCTAAGTGCACCAAATATCCAGCGCTAGTGAGTCCGGCTATTTTCAGCACCAGCAGAAAACAGAATGTGT